AATACAAATTTTATAAGAACAGCGAATGTTTTAGAAAAGTTCTTCTATTTAACAATCAATAGCAAATGAGCTGAATAGTCAATAATCGAAAAAAGTGGGTTTTATTTATTTGTTAATATTAGTTTTGATTAGCTAAGACCTTTCGTAAGATTTGATTCTACAGCTGATCTGATCTATTGTTAGAAGAAAATAATATCTGAACATTATAACTGCTAGCTGTTTCATTACGATCTACTAGTTTATGTTTTAAAAAACCAAGACCATCGCCTGGTGACGCTGTTGAAACAACTGATATAAAATCAACATAGACATAAATTTGGTCATTAACAAAAATCAAAATCAGATTATATGCTATTGACGGGTCCTGAGAAAAAATAATTCCAATAGATTTATAAATTTCGGGAGAAGAGCAATAACATTAATTATGTGTAGATATCACTTACCCGTATTTAATGCCGACTGCTCAAGGCTTTCTATGTGGCAGTAAATTTAGGTTCTAGTATGAGCTACATTCATAAGATATAAATCACTAACATGGAGAATGAGGGTGTGATACTGCATTAAAATGGCAAAAATTTGCGTGATTTGTTGAAATAATATCACTTAAAAAAGGCAAAATTTTCTAAGACTTCATTAGTCGAAATTGAACTTGAAATTTCTTTACTATCTTTTATAATAGAGAAATTCTTCTCAAGTATTACTTTGACTTCATTCGACGTGGTAATGACCGACAAAGTTATGGACGAGGAAAAAATGAAAATATAAGATTGTACTATTCGCTCACTTCTTTTCAACGAATAAAAATTCGTCGTAGAGTATTCTGTTGAATTCAGTTGGAAAAAACAATTAATACTTACAGAGCTTTTACTTAGATCGTTGCAATTAAAAGTTGAAGGCAAAAGATTAGGAAAATATTTATTTTATTTTCAACGAGAAGGATATTACTAAGCAGCTTTAATTCAGAATCTCTTACGTACACATACACTATTCTATATTTATGAGACAGTTCAATAGATATATTTGTTAAAATTTCGTGGAGTCGTCTTTAGTACCAAGGAAAGATTTTTCTATTGAAACTGTGAAACAATAAATTATAGAATCAACAAATGTATGATGTATTGTTTCATCGACATTTTTATATAGAATTTTGATTAGTTGAATAGCAGTTGAATCTAAAATAAAGCACGGTATTTTAGAATATATATGAATTCTTATAGTTACTCGTAACAAAAGCAGATACTTTAATAATTTTTTCAAGTAAAATCAGCATTTTTCCTGTAAAAGTAGGACTTAAAAAAGCATCCATTATTATTTGGATCTCTTCAAATACCTGTAATAAAAATTAACATTTCAATAGAATAAAATGATTTGAGAAAATTAAACTTACGAAGAATTTATGTGAATAAGCTGGAAATTCTTTAAGAATATCTGATGTAGACTTTTCACGAAGATATTGACGACGAAAATGTAAAATCTGCTGACATATATGAAGTTAAAAAGTACGTCAATATCACACACAGCATGTAATTTTGCAGCTTCTGTTTGAATACTTTGTAATGTAACATCATCATAAGTTAATAAAACTCTCTGAAGAAAGACTAAAATAGAACCAAAATAATAATATGTAGCAAATATCTGGATGACTGAAGCCCATATGTGAATATTTTAACTGATAGTGCTGAACTTCCATATGATCTCGGTTTCTGAATCTCTTTCTTTTTAGTGTTATTTGAAAAGTATCTTTTCTTATTTCCAGTACAAGAAGAAAAATGATATCCAAATACTTGCTACTTCGATTGTGTTTACATTTACTATGAAATTCGGATGACTATTATGAGAACTAATCAAGTCCATCAATTTTCAGTCAATGAAACGGTCAATATGGACATTTATAGTTGTAGATAAAATACAAAACTCTTAACTTATTCCTGGGATGATTGGCTTAAAAATAGGATAATTTTCATACTAACTGTTTTGTTTCTAACCAGATTCGAAAAATTAACCAGGACAACAAGCCCCACTATGTTTTAAATTTGATAAATGATCTAAATCATTGAAATAAAATAAGTCTTACTTATTGTAGTCTAATTATTTAGCAGTACAATCGTATGGTAATCATCATCAGAAAAAATTGCTTCAGACGCTCTTCCGTAATATAAGATCAATTAATTTAATAGATTTTGAAAAAAATAAAACATTAATGTCTTTAAATAAGTTTGTCTTAAATTTTAATTGATAACATGTTATATTTTTCTGTCAAATCATGAGCACTAGATTCAATAAGATTTTGACGGTAGAAAAGATGTGGACCAAATTTATTTAAAGCTTCATGTTTTTTTATCTTTCAGTAAAGCATTCGACGAAGGAGGAATTGCATAGCTATGTAAAAATAATACTTTATTTATTGAAGAATTCATGGTTGATGACATCCAGATGTAGCAGTATTTAAAAATTGTTTAGAAGCATGATCAGATATTGGTTCTGGAGAGGCGAGGACGATAGATTTAGATATCTTGAAGATACAGATAATGAAACAATTAATTAGGTCAAGTTTTCATTGTTGTAAGCTCTAGAACTGAAAAATGTTTCACTAACAAATACAGACAATCAAGTTTTGAACGTGACATCATGAATCCTTTACAACTAAAACTAGTATTATGTCTATGTATTTATAAACAGTAGATCTTTCTGGATCAAGTGTACTAAGATGTACTTTATAATAGCATCTTTTATTATATTCCTTTTCACGATTTATTACGTACAAATACTCCTTGGGTAGAAGATTCTACTGGTTGACGCTGAATAATATCTTCTCTAAGTCACACCCAGTTTCACTCTTTTCTAGGATTTTGAAGTAAAAATTCTGTTCTTAAGATTGTCGACTGAACTTCCTTGAAGGATGTACTCATAAACACTTTTAACAATAAGATAAAATACAGTACCCATGAATAGTGATCACATAACTTTCTCGCTCTGATACACTAATGCAGCAATGAATCTTTTTGGCTGGTAAATCCTCTGACAACGTAGACAATTCATATAAATCTTTCAAAACGCAGTGGATTCTTCTCCAATAAATGGTCTCTCGCTATACAATTGATTTCTTTAGTGTACTTTAGACTGCCCATGATCGGAGAATTACATTTGCTATTGTTGATGTCGTACAATAATCTACCCAAGATGCATGATAATAAACCCTTTCCATGAAAACGGAGTATGATCAACCCTTGTCCGTAGAATCATATACCTTTTGGATAACATCGTATAATAGTCTACCCTCAACCGTATTACAATAAACCCTTTTTGGAAAGCGTCGTATAATCAATCCTAATTCGTAGATTAATATACCCTTTTGGATGTTATTGTATAGTACTCTACCATCAGCCGTATTATAATAAACTTTTTTTCTGAAACCATGTAACAGTCTACCTTTACCAGCATATTAATATACCCTTTTCGATGTCACCGTATTATAATCTACCCTCTGTCGTATGATAATAAACCCTTTTCTGCAAGCGTAGTATAATCAATCCTGATTCGTAGACTAATACACTCATTGGAGTAACTTCGTATAGTAATCTACCTTCTACCGTACTGTAATCAATGCTTCTTCCGAAGCCTTACAACAATCTACCCTTTTGGATGACATTCAATAGTAATCTACTCTCAACCGCATTATAATAAACCCTTTTAGTGGAAGTGTAGTATGGTCAACCCTTATCCGTAGAATAATCTACCCTATTGTATGCCACCGTATAATAATATACCCTCTGCCGCATTATAATATATGCTTCTTCCGAAAGGGTAGAGTGATGTACCCTAGGTCGTCGAATAATATACCCTATAGCGATATCGTGTAGTGATCAACCCTTTAACGTATTATAATCAACACTTTTTCTGAAGCGTAGAATCATCTACCCTTACCCGTATACTAAGAAACGGTTTTTTTGAACCGAATAATAATCTACCCTTCATTGCTGAATTAGAAACGTTTGTGAAAAATACGTTTATTAATCTACCCATGGTCGTTGAATAATAAACCCCTCGACTTGAAATATGAAATAAAAAACCCTTAAAAGAGCTTCATATACCCTTTGTCTATTCAAATACCCTTCTGCTCAAAAACCCTTCGGGTCATATACCCTTCAAGGGTATATGCTGCCCTCATAAATCCTTCAAGAGTTTATGAAAGAGAAAATCAAGGGCAAGGGTTGATTATTCTGCGCTTTTTTTTCAGTGTAGTCGACGATAAGAAAACCTAAACATATACATTATTTCTTTTTCTTCTTTCTATTCGTATGTAACGTCATTCTGTAAGTAGTAGAGAAGAGTGATGAAATCGAGTTTTCTTATTTGCGAAGAGCATGACGTTTCGAATAAGGAGTGTTGTGCAATTTATCTTTATGTATGCAATGACTCGCCGAAAAGTGACAGAAAAAAAACAATCCAAATGTAATGTAATACGGTAAGATTTCAGTTGCATGATGAAAACATTTGTTGCATGACACAATAGTACCTGAAGCGACGAAGAGCTATCAGAGTATTTTTACTATAAATTGATAAAAATTCATAGACATCTTACTATAGTTTTATCGACGTCAAGCAAGTGACAAACATGTCTGAATTATTAGTAAAGTCGACATCGAACGATGATATTGGCTATCGTGTTTTATTTATTGTTGATGCTACGGGATCTATGGGTGCATTCTTGAATTCTTTAACGGTTTCACTGTATCAAGTTGCATCCATTATGAAACTTACTACGCAAAAACAAATCAAAGATTGGAATTTTATGTAAGTAATGTCGATTTAAAACATAGAAATTTTGAAAATGCAAATGGATATTCATGAGATAAAAATGCTTAACTAAGAACAATTCACTGTTATTTTCAAAGGTTTTTTCGAATTTGTTCTTTCATATCAATATCTGCTTTGCAGGGTATCGTGATTATGATCAACCCATAGAAAAAGTCACAGATTTTTCTGGTTATACTACTGATATGTCCAAAATTTCCACATTTCTCAGTAGTTTGAGACCAGATGGCGGTGGAGATGCTCCTGAAGCTACGAAAACAGCATTAAATAAAGCATTCGATATGAATTTGGTTGATTCTAATACAATAGTATTGATATATGCCGATGCACCACCACATCATCCGACAACGGCTGGTTCTTCTTGGACAACAGAAGTAAAGAACGTCAAAGAAAAGGACTGGATTCGATTATGTAAACTTTATCAACAAACTGGCTGTACAGTATTTTCAATTATTAACACAGCACAATTTTGTACATCATCATTTTACATTCTGCTAAGTAAATATACGCAAGGCAAAACATTATTTTTAACAAGTGCAAATGTAAAACTATTTCAAAATGTACAATTAATTTATTTTTAAGGTAAATATGAAGTCTAATAAGCAATTTAATATTTACCATCGGTTTTCTTCCTTCTACGTAGTTTATGCCATGCTCAATATGAACCGATAGATTCAGTTCAATGTTTGAACTTTATTGATATCGATTTATCTACATTGGATAATGAAGATGATGCACGATAAAAAGATCTAGTATACTTGCCTAGTACAAAATCAAATCAACAAGGATCAATCAAGATGGAACCGTTTAGTACGAGTCCAATATCATTCATGGTAGTCGATTTACGATTCATGTTAGAAAAGTTTGACAAAGACGATGCATATTAATCAGTTGTATATCAAGTATTGAAATCTTTGATGATACCTGAGCATATTGTTGCATTGACATATAATAGTATAATAGGATTATTATGGCGTTTAGTTTGACTACAACGAAAAGATAAACGTAGAGATGAATTGATGTTAGCATTATCGCAAGCATTAAATCTGATGGATTCGAAGTCAACATCGAGCACAGATGCTACAATCGTATGTGCATGGATAGATGAAAGTTACAATGCGAGAGAAGAAATCATAAGTAGAATTGCTGAAGTAAAAGAACAAGTACCGGCTATTGTATTAACATTGGACAAAAGAATGAATAGAAGTGAATTATTAGAAATTACTCGATCATGTAATTCACAAGTAGTACGTACAGTTATGTCTTTTTTAAATCATCTTACTATCATTACAAATATATCAAATTTACCACAAACGTATTTACCATTGGATATGAATGATAATGAAATATTTCAACTATTGCCACATCTTCTAGCAGAAGGTCTCAAGTTTTCATTACGTCCATCGGCACTTATGGCTATTTTTTGCATTCTATCAAATAATAGTATACTTAACAAAAGAGCTACACAGTTTTTAACAAGCATAAAAGGTAAATGACTTGATTTAGAACTTCCAGAAAATAATGCTTATGCATTCAGTAAAATTTGTGTTAAAGTACCACAATTTTTTACTGAAAATGAAAATTTATTTTTTCGAAAACTTTATACTTTGGGTGGACTGAAATTAAATGCTTCTACACGTATCATTGTTAAACAACCATTCATTCCAACTGTAAGACAAATTCATCATGATACAAAAATTCAATGCCAAACATGTAATATTATTCGTTCAACAACACTTTTTCCAGATGTTGGCAAAAGTTGCTGTGCACTTTGTTTACCATGTTATGATCTTAAACATACGCCTGAACCATGTGAAGCACCGTTTTCACATCTGGTACAATGTACAACATGTACTTGTTTGTATGCAATAGTGCAATATCGTCAATTGTTCTCGACACCAAAATGTCATTACTGTCGTAATTTATCCGAATCAGCACCATATCGTCGTTGTATTGAATGCCAGAATAAATATGTACATAATGATTCCACGGAACCAATTCCAAGTAACGGTGAAGAATATAAATTTGTTTGTGCCGAATGTCAACATTCGACAGTAAGTAAAACTATTGTCGATATACCAGTGTCGATTGGTACATTATTTGATGAAAATAAAATACAACTATATAAATATTTAAATATCAATGTTAACGACGATATTAATATTTTTTCGACTGAATGGTCACTTTTTTAATTAAAGGATAAAGTCGAATTGAATCCTATGGAAGATATTCAATCATCGTCAATTTCACAAATATCATTGGTTCATGCTAAGAAACCTATATTAAATCCTGTGGCTATATTCGATCAAATTAATACATGGATACAAAGTGGTAAATCTGAATCTGTCACTTGTTACATTTGTTGTAATGATGTTTCATGTGATAAAATAAACAGTACGTGTGGTAATAAACTATGCCATGCTGAATCATGTACTGAATGTTTAACAACATGGTACCAAGCTGTTCGACCAGGTAGTATCGTATTAGTTGCACATTTATTATGTCCATTCTGTAAATATACACCGAATGTAAAAGTTCTTAAAAAATATAACAAACAAGCATGTACAATATTAAAATTCGACAAGAAGGATGATATTGATGAACGTTGGTATTATGGATGGTGTATGGACTGTTATAAAATTAAAAAAGCACAAGAAAAATCTTGCATTGGAAATGTTGATATTCCTTCATTAACTGATTTTGTTTGTGATGAATGTATTGAAATCCGAAATAGTCCAAAAACTATTGATATCAAATATTGTCCAGGTATAAATGAAAATACGAAAGCAGTCTGCGGTGTGGCAACAAATAAAAAAGGTAGTTGTAATCATATAACATGTACGGCATGTAATTCAGATTGGTGCTGGCTATGTGTTAAAACATATGGTGAGAGTATTTATGAACATTTGATGTCAACACATGGCAACTATGGTATTGAGGATGACAACGATGAGTAGACAATGAAAAACTAAAAAACGATAGTTATATTAAAATGTTTCGAAATACTTTTTTTCTTATTGATCAGCTCTGGTTTTGTGTTTTGATTATTTTTAAAATATAAAAAGTCTTGATTCCCGACTTTCCTTTCAGCAATGGAGTTATACGGAATCTAGTGTGTGATAATCGTATGAGATTTTTCAATTCATAAAAGTAGATTCCTCTTTTTCAGTACAAAACTACCCAAGGTCAAAGGCAACAGTGCAGTAATCTGTCATATCAGACAACGTAGGCACTTGATGTGAAAAACTATGACCGTTTTCTACCGAAGACAAATGCTCATAGAACGGTATGGTAGATAGCTGCGAAATATTTGACAGCAGTTCACTGTTATAAGATCGTTTAAGATTCTGTTTTCAACGGTCAAAATGATTTTGCCTATGTTGCTATCTGGCACATGAAGAAAAATGATATCTCTCAAGTTTACTTGTAAGCGAGATTGAAAATTGTTTGTCTAAGTGTGGGTGTGGGTGTGGTTGTGGATTCGGATGTAGATGTGACGAGAAGGCCTACACACCCACCCACACCCACAACCCTTGTTCCTTGTACACCAGAACTTGAAGACGAAAGGCAACAAGAAATGGAAAAGAAGCGAGTTACTATTCAACAACAGTTTCAAGCTTTGAATGATAGTAAGTGACATTGATCTTCTCAGTTTACACACATATCTCTTATTTTTTTATTTTAGAACAACGTCCATAGTCAGATTGGAGACGTACTGATGAATCGTGCATACAACATACAGGGCATGACATTGAAGGTGTGGGTGTGTGGGCCTCTGAGAGATTTTGTCGTCAATTTTCCTACATCCTCTTTTACAATCTAATGTCAGACTTTTCGATGTGGGCATTTTTAGTTATATAATTATCGAGGAATATTCAACTATTGTCACTGTCGTGTATTTAACGCAATTGTCCTACTGTAAAAGCCTTTTTCGTGTATCTATTCTGATATAAATTTGGAGAAGCTCCACCATCACAGTGAGCTACAGACACACTTCAATCTAAGCAATTCTTCATACGAATTCGCAAGTGCAACCTATATAGAGTATTTGTAAAACAAGAAGATTTGTAGAAACTTCTTTTTCTCATATAATAATAATCATTACAACTTTTAGTAGTTCAACTATATATACGAGAAATCTCTTATGATAATTATTAATATGTCTACGTGGTTGTAACGAATTTCTCTTGATATCTATTGTCAAAAAGTTCGGTCAAATTATAAATATTTGTTCATGTCAACATTTTGCTTTCAATCGGACCACTTGGCAATTCCAAATAGCTGCCGTCCTAAGACAGTGAGGTCTACTTCTGGATTAATATTAGCAGTTCGAAGTTTAGCTAAAACTCCTTCACGTCGTTTTTCAGCTCGATCAGGCGTCATAGCAGGATGATCGGTCGGAAACATTTTGAAGAATTGAGCGTAGCGGGGTCGAAGACTATGATTTGCTCGTGATCCATGCATCACGCGTTGGTCCCACAAGATAGCTGAACCAGCACGAGTAGAAATATGACAAGCGACAGCATAAAGCTCTGGAATTTTGTTTTCATCAAAGAGATTGAATGTCGAATACAGACCATATTTCGAGCGCAATGCTTCGTGTTCGGCTGTCCATTTCGATAAATAATGATGAAAGCCAGGAACAAGCCAGAAACCTCCATCTTCTTCAAGGTTATCAGCTAGATTGACTAGACCTTGTACATGCCGCTCCCCGATAGTGTTACAGCCAGGTTCATTATTTTCCGTGATCCAATCATCATCATATTTATAGTTTAATGAGGTGAGTATTTCAATTTGATGTGAATTATCCTTATCTAAAATGAAGATTTGCAGTTAGATTAGGTTATGAAAAAAGTGTAGGATAAACCTTTGAAATATCCCCATGGATTCATGTCCAAGTGAAGATTAGCCATTGTTGCTCGTTCAGGATACTCCTTAGCAGGTCGAAACAGCCCGTAACGATCTTGATTAACTAAGAGTTTTTCCGTTCCCAGAATGGTCGCGAAAGCAATATGCAAAGCTGGTGTTTGTCGATTAAGCAAAATTTGACGAGTATATAGACTGGCACTACCGATGATGCCCTCCCGTACTAAACCTGTTCTACTCCATAGTCTAAAATGATATGACTGATTGTCAACCGTAAAACATAGAATTGGCAAAGAACATTTACTTTGAATTCCAAAGTTTTTCATCGTGTCGTATAGGTTGTCCTGCACGAGACTCGACGACGTTCCAGATATCCGAAATCGTGTCTTTACATTGCTCTTGTGTAAAGACATTTGCGATAACTACAAAACCAAACTTGTCGAAGAATGCACGCGCTTCATTGGCCTCAGGACAGTCGCAACTAGAAAGGGTGAAGCTTTTCACAAAGCCTTCGGAATCTCTTGGAACAGTAGGCGGTTGAAACTCGTTAGCTGTATCTCCCATGTTTATAGAAAAAGTTGTTTTTAAAAACACGTTGTAGGAAGAACAAAAGTGGTGTGCGAAGTTATATACCAAAGTATGTCTTGCGCAAGATCCGTCTGACTATATGTAAATCATACAAGTATGGGGTGAAGTTATGAGTCAGGTAAAGAAAAAAAGACACGACCGTTAAGGAAAGAAAAAAAAGCATAAGTCATCTCATTGAGTTGTAAAAATTAGTAATTATGGCAGCAGTACGTCATTCAGCATGGAAAGTTCCCTTGTGTACAAAAGAGCAGTAAATTGTAGATCATTTGACTAATTGGTGTTCCGAGATTTATTGGAATCTTCTATGTTGTTTACCGATCGCATATTTCTAGAGAAATCTTGTTAACAATGAAGAGAGAATTGAGTAGATAACTGCTACGAAATACATTAGAATTTTATCAAAAGTCAAGGCTATATTTTTATTTCAAGCTTTCGGTGAACACTGTCACCATCGTCAGAAAAAAAGATAACAAGAGAAAAAAACAATACATAGATATATATAGTCAGCTGATAGTTGGCAAGAAGACAAAGGAAAGAAAGAGAGGGTGTGGGTGTGGGTGTGGGTGTGAGTGGGTGTGGGTGTGGGTGTAGATGTAGGTGTGGGTTTATTTTCTTTTCAGTTGACATCCACCCACCACCCATACCCACATCCACACCCACCCACACACCCACACCCACACACCACCCATACCCACACCCACACCCACACCCACGCCCCAAACACCCACCCACACCCCACACACCCAAACACCTACCCACACCCAATACCCACTTCAACATACATTTTCATCCAATGTCAAACTAGTACAATTAGTGTATAGGGTCGCTAAATTTTGCATACAAGTACACTCATTTTTCGAATAAAAACACATAGTTATTGACTTAGTTATCAAAAAACATTGCTCAAAGCACCGGTAGTTGATATAGGTTTAGTCTTCTATTTACGATCAAACATTTATTTAATGCCGATTTTATCGAACAAAGTGTCATGAATAATTAATGAGGCTGTTTCTTACGATCGAATAATATTCTTGCAATAGATCCTCGATTATAATACAAAAGGAAGTGGAAGGACAACATTTATCAAGAAAAACATCCAATGTTTGTTTATGCAAATTTTAAACCATGTTCTTATATAGGACGTGGTCGAAACTGAAGTATTCATTCTCGTTTAAAAATCAATTCTATGGTACCAAGCAATTTTATTCTTTTGCTCGTAAGTTTGAGCGTTGCCGTCACGTAAGGTGAGAAAATTGAACTGAAACTTTGAATGAATGTAATTTTATATTTCAATAGGAAAAATATGTCCTGGTCCCTATTTGTATTCTGGTCAGTCACTGTGTTATCCAGCAGGTAGATCATCAATCTCCCCGACATATTCGAAAAATCAATATGACAGAAATAAAAACATGCGTTGCTTCGCAAAAAGTTGATATTCAGTTTTTGTAGAAAAATAAAGACTGCTCCAACATAAGGGGCAGTCAGTCGAAAGAATTTATTCTGCAATCAATAAATCAAATGATGATATTATTAATTATTTAAAAAACAGTCTTTGTATTTTTTTATTTGAGGCCAATACTGTGGAGAATGTGTGAGCTTTATCAAGTGAGTGTTTTTTTTCTTTTTTTCGATTTTCTATTCATCAATTGATGTATGTTGTGATAGAATTTGTTCGAGAGACTATCGAACTACTAGTCAGTGGCGACAGGGACAAAAAGTAATGATTGGCATTGATTTGAATCATTATGTAATTATCAATTGAAAATATTTCTTCGTAGGTAAAAGGTACAAATCTAGCATATGGTACGGCGATAGCAACATTTCCAAATGGTATGATTTTCTTAGCACGATTATATCATTAATTTCGTCACATTATGTATTAGGATATTACTTGGGTCATGCTGCAATATACACCGGCCAAAATATCCAAGGTATTCAAGTTTGGGATCAATGGAGAGGCCAACCTGTCCATCAGCGAACAATTTATTGGAATGGCCAAGGCACCTCCAATAATGGAAATTCATTCGATGTCATCGATTAACATATCCAGACTCTGATTGATCCTTTGTGGACCGTGGGACATACCTTCTCCCATCTATTTTTCAATAGAGAAAAAAATATTCAGTTTTCAGTTCACATTAAACTATTAAATACCAAAGGTCGTTAAGTTGACAGAAAACTGTATTTGTCGTATTGTATTTTTCTTCCTTCTTTCCTTCTCTCATATAGTTTCGTCTCAAATATCCTTTGTTCTTGCTACTAAAATATAGTGACGTCATGATCTCTCTTCTCTTCTAATTTTTTTTCGAGAATATTCTCAGTTTCTATAAAGTTGGTATATATGTTCTTGTTCTCATTCACGAATTTACGTTATTGTTCAATTCGCTAAGCATATCAGTTCTCTTTCGCACTTATACTCTTTAATTCTTCATCCCGTTTTTATAATTAAAACTAAACAAATGGAGGGTGTGGGTGTGGGTATCGGTGGGAGCGGAGTTTAGATAATATCATCACGTTTTAACACCCACACCTTTCACCCACAGCCACAGCCACACCCTCAATTCTGTGAGGAGACGGGGGGTACATCAAAGAGTTATATTATTTTATGAGAAGATTTATTTTTATTGATAGAACGATGCATCTTTCAAAAAACACCTATTAAAAGTGTTCTTATATGACATCTGTATGCTTTATTTTATTCATTTTATTTGCTGGTTCTACACTAACCAATTAATTTTTTTCTCGTTCTATTCATAAAGGTAACATTAATGGTGCGACTAGAGTAGAGAAAAACCTTGTCATTTCATTACATGATTTTCTTTTATCATTTAATTACAATTCACTTTTATGTATGCTACTGTATAAGTGTTTTGCTAATTATTCTGCGAAAAAATGAGAATGAATACTACGTACATTGAGTATTCTTATGTCTGTCTATGAGTAAATCTCCAAAGAAAAACTCATGTGAGTACTCATCGGAGGACATGACAAGTATGGATACAAATTAAATTTTTCGAGTACTCGCAGGCGTAATGTGATCGTCTTAGGTGAGTTATTCACCGTTTTCATTAAATAAAGGCAATCGAGAAGAACGTGGAAGAGGAAGAAAAAAAACACGAAGAAACATGTGTGTATAAATATATATGCACAGTGTAGTATTGGAGGTATACATATACATCCGATTACTATTGATGCATACAAAATATGTTGCTTTTTCTTCTTTCATATTCTATATACTTGTTTGTCACATATTTCAAGTAACATGATATAAACAAAGATATATCCACAGGTTATTAAATACTTACCTGCTCTTTAAGCGATTCCTATCATAAATCAATCGAAAATGTATTCTATTTCATATTTTATATCCTTATATCTGTTTCCTTTTTTTATATCGTATATCTACTTACCACTATTCTAGAATATTTCTACAAATCAAATCAAATTAAGTTAAGTATGGGTAACAAGAGTAGTGCAATTACGATTAATCTCGATCGATCGAATTTGTTTTATTTTACTGGTGAAACAATCTCGGGTACTGTCGGATTAAGTGTTACAGAAGGAAAAGTAGAAGCTGATGAAGTTTATATAGAATTAACAGGTGAAATTGGTTATACAACAACTAGAACAGTTCATCATCATCATGGTTCTGGAGCTAATCCTTCATTTGGACATTGTCATACTCATACACCACATCATGCAATTGGACATACAAATGATTATACAACAACAGAAATTGACTATCATCATGTTCCATTTTATACTGCAAAAGCGGTTTTCTCAAAACTTGAACCTGGACAAAAGGCAGTTGTTTATACGAAAGGAAATTATTCATGGCCATTTCAAATTCCATTAAGTACTCATCTTCCACCAACAATGTATGAACCTCAATCTTATCCTCATGTGAAATACTATTTACAAGTTGTTATTGATAAACCTTGGTATAAACCAAATACAAGAGAAAGAAGATATTTAACAATCTGTCCACATGTTAATTTATTACAAAATCCTCAATGTTTACAATCAACTATATTTGGAAATCAAAATAGAAAAGACATAATATTAAAAGGTACTTTAAATAAAACAGGATATGTTCCTGGTGAATTAGTTCATATAACAATAGAAATTGAAAATCCAAAAAGAGTTCTCATTAAAAGTATTGATTTTTCAATGATACAATCATCTCGGATTGGTGAAATGTCTCGTGATTTTAATATATTTCAAACAACTTTACCAAATATTATGAATACAAAAGATGAACATATAAAGCAATCAATTCCAGTAAAACTTCCATCGATGATTTTACCACCATCATATCAATTTCAAGGAGGATTACAAAGAGCGGCTTTTGTTACTAATCAATATATGCTTAAATTAGTTGCTAGAGTTGAAGGATTTTTTACTAATTTCGATATCAGTATACCAATTATATTAGGAACAGAACCAAATCCTGATCAAAATCACGAGCATATGTCAAATCTTTCGGCCGGTTTTTACGGCTCCAATCTTGAACAACCAATGTTTACTAATCATGATTTACCCCCTACTTATGAATCTGTTGTTCAATATAAGCAATAATTTTTTCTTTTTTTTAATCAATGCTTCATATACTCTTTTACTTATTATTTGATTATGCTACAAAAAGAACAGAAAAACCAAGCCATTGAGGTGGGCTCCCTATCAAAACTTTATCTATATAGAAGGGCAAAATGAAATTAATTGTCTATTTTTAACAGAGAAAATATAAAATTTTCTTCATCTGCTCTTGATAGTGTTTTATTTGCACAATTTACTTCCAAATATACAGTATTTAGCAATATCAAATACGCATTTCTCGGCAAGTATGAATTCAAAATCACCTGCTGATATAATCTTTTATGGTATTATTACCATCCTTGATCTAACAGCTATCATTATTAGTTCAAATGATATTATTGAC